TTAGCCCGACTCACTGTTGTTTCGAGCACTCCACTACATTACTTCAGCGGTCACACTGCTTACAGTGCACTCGAATGTTTAACAACAACTGTCTAGGAAGAGAGGCTTATTAAAGGCAATGTTCATGCATACTTTCATTGTATGTTTTTCCCCTATATTTAAAAAAAACAAAAAACAACCCAAAACAAACAAAACAACAAAAACAACAAAAAAATGTCAGCTCATCTGACCCATGAATAGTCACAATTAACAGGCTGTTCCCCACAAAACAGCACATTTTGTTGAGACCTTGCAGCTGAGTAATTCAGGTGAAGACCCATTAGATGATCGTTGCGTGATGGTTTGATTAAATCCTGATTAATACTGTAGGAGAAGTGGCCGTTCTAATGAAATGTGAATAACTGGATGGATTTCATTTATGTTTTAGCTCATTAGTCCTTCAGTCTGATGAATCATTGGGGAAAAATAAATAAATAAAATTTGAAAAAAGGTCAGATTGAATCCTTTTGTTTTAAATAAACTATTAGCCTGATAACTGGTTCTGAGACCAATTTTGTTGTCTGTTTATTTTGTTTCTATTCATTATTTTTGCTTCTGTACCAAGATAAATAGAAATCTTTGCTAAAAAGATGTTCTGGGCTGTGAGGTCAGTCTCCTGATAATGAATATGCAAATTCTCATAACCACTGATCTTTGGCCTTCATGAGTGGTGCTAGTTTCAGTCATTGTGCAAATGTACTGTTTATAAAGTTGGGGAAACCTGGAGTCAGCTGACACTGAAGAAGTCACTTGGATGAGTGACGAAACAGTTTTCTCAGTGAAAACGCTACATCCAGATGAACAGAATTAATCTTTTAGGTAAACCTAACAAACACTTTACACACTGTATAAAATATACAAAAATAGAAGAAAATATTGCCACATTACATAGAGAATCCACAAAATAACAACACAAATATGTTAGCTGGGCCAAAAATACTTCATTAACTCTGTCTGCAGCCTAATCGAGTCAAGATATTAATTCTTTAACAAGCAGTTAACAAACATATAGTTACATTTTTTCCCTTCAAAGCCTCAGTGTTAAAAAATTTTTTTTAATTAATTAAACCTGTTGATGATTATAATTTGCTGTCCATTTACACAAAATGGACAACGACTGTGGGTTTGATTATAGATCTGCTACAGTGAACCTGTTTATTAAAACCCAAGAGGCTGTACAATTATTAACAAAAACTGAAAAATTCCACAGATAAAGTAACGCAAACTCAGAGCCTTCATTTCCAATCACGCATTAATTTTGAGTCTGTCCAAAAGGCATATTTTGAGTGAAATTCTTAGTAACAAAGATGAAGAAAATGTTCTTTTCATTCAACTTTTGTTTTAGTTTGACCATATATGATAAGTTTCATGGGTCTTTACAGGACTGCTAGTTGTTTTTTTGTTTTTTTTCATATTCAAAGTCAAACAACTGTTGATGCACCTGTCCCGAATTACAGATGTGGATTTACATTTATGGAGAGGCTGGAGAACATTTTGACATAGTTGTATTCAAATGTGGCCTCAGATTTAAAGGTTTTATGCAAACAAATGATGAATAGAAATGGAATGGCACATCTGTAATAGATGTGCCATTTCATACTAATATATAAAACCGTACATCTAACGGTACTGCCTGGTACAACATTACCTCTAGCTTGAATTTGTTCCTGCTTTTATTATTATTATTATTATTATTTTCTTCTTTCTTTTTGTAATTCAATTCTATCGTTTTGAAGAACACAATGCCACCTGTTGAAAAGAAAGGTAAATGAACCACCGCATATAACCAAACACACACACCGGACTTACTGGGTACTTGCTGAAGTCCACTGAAGTCTCCGGGACTTGCAGTGAATGCAGGTGGACATCCAGAGTTCCGTTAGCGTAGAAGCCAAAGTCGTTGAGGTCGATGGTGTGGCGAATTTCATTCTGGTTGTAAGAACAAACAAGTAGAGCTCAGCTGTTGTGGTTCAGTCAGTAAACATGTCTCCTAAGACTCAGATTTAAGAAGCTTTGGTAGCTTTTCTCGTGCGCCCATAACAAAACCCAACGCGACATTATGTTTGGACTGTCCTCTGCCATTAGAATTAATTACAACATACGAATTGAGTAGTAAGACGCTCGACGGGAGCAGAGGAAAACAACACACCATTACCTCCCGAGCTAGCGCTGTCATAATTTGTTGCCTTACCGTCAATGTAAGCTTGTGTATTCTTGCTTCGCACCCAGGCTGAAGTAATATGAATAAAAATCCAGCCACAAAGCAGACTCTGTGCCCCACCGCCATCACTGACTCGCTAGCGGTAACTAGCTGCTAATACTAGGGAGCGTCAATCCTTCCAGGTGGCTAAATAACAAGCTAAATAGCAGACTTGAATGTAAACCAGGTTAAATGCGAGAGTTAGAATCTTTCAGCTTAGCTTTCCGGCTCTTAAACGGCGTCGTTTACTATCAAACTACAACCATGTATCTTGTTTTCGAATTCCTTTCTGCTGTCATCGCTTAAGGTAACAGCTAGCTTGTAGGCGTCACGATCTGACTTCCTGGTCTGGTGTCAAGAACAAAACGTTGATTAAGGTGCGGACAAGAGCGTCAGCTGCTGCGGGCTCACACCCGCTACAGTGCCACAGCCGAGATATAGACAACACTCTGCGCAAGCAACCGGAGCAATGTAGGCTTTAAAACTGCCCACCCGTACAACCCGCTTTTCTGTACAAATTTTGTGCCAGAAAACGATAAATGTTGTTCAAGGATCTGACTACACCTTATATGAGTTGTCCTAGATTTTGATCACGTGGTTCAGCCCTGACACTAAGCTTCCGGCTAAAATGAGTTCACGTGATTAGAATGACCCTCCACGTCGGATACAGTCTCTCTGTGTTGTTACGTTGCGGAGATGAACTTTTGACACGTGGAGCTTTTATTGTTTCAGACATTCAAACTACGAGTTTACGTTTTGTTGTCTCACTCAACAAATGTTCTATATTCTCTGTACACGTTATTTGTATTGTCCACAAATCGCGATTATTGTTCAAACAAGATCATTTTTATAGCCCCTCTGATGACATGGTCCAAAAAATAAATAAATTGTGGCCACAAAATACTACTTCGTGTCGTCGAAATAGTATAACGTGCCCACGAAATACTTATTTGTGGCCACGAGAAAAAAAAGTCTCTAAGGGGGTCTTAAAACTCGCTAAATATAGCGACAAAGAACAAGTTGGCAACAAGTTATTGTGGAAAGAAAGTATACCCTCTGTCTTAGTCTGACTGTTGGGGGATTTTCTGGGACTTCCAGTCATGAGAAGCTTTGCAGCTGTCTTGAATATTTTTTTCACCTGGGAATAAACTTTCTCACTGTAATATGATGAGTTTCAAATTATTTGGAAATAACTAATAATCCTTTAAAGATTGATGGATAGAGGCTGCTAAGATGTCCAGATGTATTTTTAATATATCCTGATATTTAAAATTGTGAAAATGAATGCGGGTGTAATTTCTTTTTCACACAACAGTAAATCTACAACAACTAACTAAACAACTGATGTATTATCACCATTATAGCTGAACTTGTATGTGACTCCTGCTTTTAGTTGTTGCTGTTGTTTGGCTGGAGTCTACACCCTGGTGTAGACTCCCCCCTGGTGGAGGGACTCCAGGCCTTGAGAGCCGGTGTGCTGCAGGTTTTAGATGTGTCCTTGATCCAAACAGCTGATTTAAATGGCTAATATGGCCTCAATATATCTTGAAGTTCTCCAGAGGCCTGGTAATGAACTAATCATTTGATTCAGATGTGTTAACCCAGAGTGATATCTAAAACCTGCAGGACACTGGGCCTTGAGTTCCCCACCCCTGGTCTACACCAACTCCTGAGGTACACATCTGGCTCTTTGCTATTCGTGTCATTCTGGTGCTTGGGCCTGAGCAGGTATAATGGTTCAGTAATATAGATAACTGATTGCATATTATTCAATTCTTTTTACATTGTAATTTGATTATCTTTTAAAATAATTTGACCAACTTTAATTAAAAAAAATAAATACATTTTTTTTACAGCCATTTACACCAGTTTTTCTTGATCTACTGTTTATGTCTTGTCCAAGTGCTGCTCTGCACACAGCAACATGTGCACACACACACCAGCCAGCAGTCTATGGTGAGAGGTTTGCTGCAGTCAGACAGCTTGATGAAGTGTGTGGAGGCCAAAGAGAAAGAAAACCATTTCCTGGATGGTGATATGTGAACAGGAGAGATCAGCAAATTTATAGAGATGCTCAATAGAGACTTGATTATTATCACAGTCTTAATTCCTCTGGGAGAAGTAAGGGTAATATTTGATATTCCTATTTCTGTAACAATCACACTTATGAAAATACACAAAATTACGATAAAGCACATGTGCTGACCACAGAGTGAAACTTCCCACAAGAATGATGCATGGAATTTTCTATTGATTCTATTGATGTCAGTAGATTGGGGATTGTGGTCAACAGATTTAGTTTCAATTCAAGTACCTAATCGTAGCCTCAGTGATTATATAGGACAAACATGTCTTAGTCAGCCAAGAGTAATTAAAAACATTACATTTACACTGTAACCCATGGCAACCAAGGTTTGAGGTGAGGAGGAAGAGGATGATATTATATTATGACGCCGGTGGTGTTGTCGCTTTTTATTTCCTTGGGGAACTTCTCGTCTTACAATAAAACAAAGGTATGATCCTTCATATCTTGAGTCCAATGGCACAGACATGAATTTAAATGGCACAACTTCTCATCTTCTCCACCTTTGGGGTGCAACATATGTATCCGGTCTTCAGCTACAGATGAAATCCGACTAGTCAGAAGGAAGATGTCCGTCTCGGCCACCATATACAAAGGAAACATGCCGGCTTCCACAAACCGGCGCACAAACTTGTGTATTTTTAATAGATTGATTGTAAGTTCATGTGAGTGCATCAGTTTGTTGGAAGATGTAACCACTATGTATGTTTATGAGTACAATATCAAGAAGTGGATGACACAGAAACATCAAAAACACAGCTTCACCTGCTGACCTCAGATGAAAGTACGAGCAACTCCTGACACGTTTACATACACAGCTTAACAGGCCTGATTTAATCTGAACATTTCAGAGTTTGTTGAAACAGCAAAGCACAGGTGGACATTTGTACGTGTTACAACAGATAAATCACAGGAATAAAGATTAAAATGAATAGTGGCTCAATACCATTCAGGCTTTATTTTCAGGGTTCGGGGATATAACTCATGCTGTTTCATGATAAAGGAGGATAAAGAACCCTAAATGACCCTGTGTGTTTGTTATACAGTCGACTCCCGGTAGTCGTGGTGATTTGGGACCACAACTGCCGCGAATACTTGAGAACCCCTCTAAAAACGCTTATAACTGCCTATTTTAAAAGTTCAAACACCAAATATATCTTAAGCTAAAACACTTTATATGATTTCAAAGTCATCTTACAATATTGCCCTTAAAATATTTGGCTTACAGCTACGCGTGAACACTTCTACAACTGTAAGAGTGTTCACGAATACCTGACGGGGGTCGACTGTATTACCATCAGTAATTAGTTGTTACTGTTGCCTGAACAATTATGTCAAGCAATATGTCTGCTGTAAAAGTAGCCTGTTGGTAGCAAAAAAAAACATGAATATGCCCGTACGTGTAAGTGTCTCTCTTTGTTACTCCCTCCCGGGATTTACTTTTTTAAAATCAGACTTTAATGACTGCAAATTGTAAACAGAGTACATTCGTGGTTCTGGAGTATATTCTTTACATGGCATCATATGTAGCTGTAACAATTACTGGCATCATTAGAAGACCTTAGATATGCATTTCTGTGTTGAACATGTGATTACACCGTGTAAGCTACATGAAAACATCCAGCAGATGGACTGCGTGAGAAGATCCCCATCTATCACAGGGCTGACACAGCTCATAACTCGGCCTTATTCAGAATCACCAGTTAACATTAATTTCATTTCATGTAAAGGAAAGAAATAATTACAAACTATATTGTGCCCTCCGCTTTAATCTCCATTGAGATTATTTTTGGTAGAAGTTTATATTCATAGGTGCGGTGCTGCCACCGGTGACCGTGGGGGCAATAACCACTCCTCTCTGCTGAGCCAACATCGTGGCTCCAGCGGTAGGATTTAAAGTAGAGGATCCAGAGGATGCAGCTGCTCTGCCCTCTACAGCTGAAAGGACAAAGAAGCAGGGAATCAGTGGTAATGTCTGCACAGAGGCAGACCACAAACAGATTGTCAGTTACAGGTGAGTTTAAGAAACTCTGCATTCACCGCACCTTCAAACTTGCCCTCTAAGTCGTCTGCGATGTTGTTGACATTCATTTTCCTCAGGATCGCGACAGAGACTTTCACAGCCCTCGCTTCACCGTAGCTGTCTATCATACAACTCACAGTGTCCATACGGTCTTGGCCCTCGAGTTTGCCCTTTGGAATTGGTTTGCAGCTGTCCACGATCTTCATGGCGAGGTACCACTTAAAATGTTTATACTCATCATTAGTCAGGTCTTGCAGTTTTTCTAAGAGCAGCTCTGGGACCAGCATGTCTGCTCACTGAACAAACGAGAGAGAGAGAAAATGAGCTCTGTTTCTTTTAAATAAATACTTCTTTCATTCCTTTATGGGCTTAGTTGATCAGAAAATTCATGTCTGTAACTATCTGTCTATTTTAAAGTATATTACACCACATTCAGTTTGTTCAAGATGATCTATAAAACAACAATAAGGCATTTAAGTGTCACTGCCCCCATTATCATAAAAATAATAGGAATACTTAAAAGTGTTGTGCAGTTAACTCCTCGGTTAATGCTTGCTTAGCTTAGAATATTGAACTTTTAAATATTATAAAGAAAAAACATGTGAGTGTAACTTTTCTGGTGTAAATCTTCTGTATTTTTAAGGTTCTGTGAACACAACAGAGACTACTACAATAAGTCCACCAAGAAAATCCTTTGCAAATCTGATGTGTGCATGGAATAAAACATTTATTTATTATGTTGTTGTTTTTAAATATGGTTTTTACTTTCTGCTTTTATACAAAGGATGTTTTGAAAAAGTCTACGAGGAACCAAAGTTGTACTCAACAGTGTGATCACATTTTTATATGTACGCTATATGCTAGCCCCAAACCCTCTGGCTCTCTTCCAGTGTCTCCTCGGTCCTCTCTTCCTCCCGCCAACCAGTTGCATCAGGTGACTTCCCCTCCCTGAATATGGGCTCAAATGAATGTAAATAAATCTGAAGGACTAGTTTAAAACACTGAAGCTAGTCGTGCAGTAGTTTCATTTTTCGTCGCTGTGTTTAGTGGGATCGAAGACAACGAGGAAGTAAATCAGCGTCACCACGTCAGTGAATTAATAGCAGTGCTAATACAACTTCTAAAACCTGCTAATGATCCACATCTGGATCTGGATCATACATCGGTCACTATATGCTCTCAATGTCTGCGTTCGTTCACATCCGATGTAAAGCTGCACACAGACAGAGCGAAACAAGAAACAAGAAAGTCAAGTTCAAGTCTCCGTCATCCTTTCTAGCTCCTCCTGTTTCCTTTTGTATCGCAGCGAACAGACGTTATTAAACCTCCAAAGATGTGCATTTTAACTTTGGGGAACTTTATGAATCAAAGAACTCACCTCGTCACTGACCCGCCGATATAGCACCAAGCAAAGGATGTAAAGAAAATGGCGCAAACGAGTGCTTTCGGTTTCAAACCCTCTACCGGGAAAGTTCTGCGAAACCTACAGGACTACGTCAGGAGTGACTACTCAACACGTAGTGAACGTATTATGACTTGTGAGATAATGTGTGCACAGCCGTACTTGGTCAAGATACAACTAGTTTATATATAATCCCGTTGTGTTTATACGTCTTATGTCTATAGTCACATAAACGGAACATTTTGTCCTCCTTGTGATTCTGCCGGTAAAAAACAGCTGCTGTACAGATGTGCCTGAGCGACTGAGGGGTTGGCTGGTACATTGTAGTGATGTGTCGGTCACGAACGAAATGGCTCTTAGAGCCGGGTCTTTGATGTGAACGACGCGAGCCGGCTCCTTATCGCGAGCCCTGGGTTCTTTTTTTCTTTCTCTCTCCCTCTCTCTCCCACTTTTTTCCGCTTCACTCCGCATGAGCCTTGTGCTTTGCGCTGGGAAGAGGGGGGAAGAGGGGGGAGGGGCGGTAGTGTAGTAGTGGCCGGTAATAAACCAATCCTCATGAAGAACAGTGCTCTTTAATGAATTCAGCACAGACTAACATCGAAGAGGTAGCAGTGACACACATCAGTTATCAGCTAGCCATCTAACTGTATTCTATCTCTAAACCTTTACCGACTCCGCTTTACTCTTATTTTGCGACACCACTCTCTAGTGGTGCAATATGATATAAACATTACAGGACACAACACTGCTGTAACCAGTTCTTCTGTGAAGCTTCATTAAAGACGGTGAACTAAACTCCTGGACTGCTGCAGTCTTTCTGACCCAAGACTTAGGCCAGACTTGTATACCCAGCACTTCCAGT